TCCGCTGGCCCAAAGTCCTGGCAGTGAACAGAAGAGAACTTACAAGGAAGAACTGCAGGGAAGGTGAGGAAGGAAACGCACTTGAGTGCAGCTTATTTTCCTAGGCTTGCATAATTTACGAGCATTTTCATTGATGATGGCAAGCTGAACGGAAAAGGCAGGCGAGCAGCTTAACCCGGGACACTTAGGACCAGGTAAAAGTCGGAGCGACTCCTTGGAAGGCCCTGGAGTCCCGTAGCCTGGCGGCGAGAGCGAGTAAAGGACACGCACTCTGCACACACACACATCCGCACACCCGCACACACCCAGCACACACTTACAGCCGGCTAGATACAGATTCAGTCACTTAAATTAGCCTTAAGTTGGCTGCAACGAGTGTTTTGCTTAGCTGCTTTGTGCACTTGGATAAGTGCAAGGAGCAGCCGCCTGCCGGCTCCTTTTCCAAATACTTTTCCATCTCGTCCTGCAACAAACTATCAACTGCACAACTCCATGCAAAACTCATGAGCTATGCTGTGCATAAGCTGCTGCTCATGCATATCCTAGTGGCATATTTCCCCTTTTTATTTTATTTTTACTCGTTTTTTTTACTTTTTGTTGTTGTTGCTGTTGCCTGACATGTCCAAGTTTGTGAGTTGGCTGAAGCTAAAAGTTTTCTGCCACCCAGCCTTCACCGGCGTCCCACTTGATTACAAGCTTTTTATTAGCTGCCCGAAAGCAATTTGAATATGCTCATGCTGTTGTCAATTCTGTTGCAGGTCCTTTTTTCTACGCCTTGAAGCGTTTTAGCCTCCTCAAGTGATCGCAAAAAGTATATATGAGACAAAAAGGGCATTAAGCAGCATAAGCAGCATGATATTATCTGTACTTCAGCACACAAAGGCGAAACATTGTCAACAGAATTAGTTTATTACAATCCCTATTGCTGCACACTGTCGATGTATCCTTAATGAATCTTTGCAAAGCCGCTTCTGGGTATTTAAGGAGAGCCCTTGGGGCTGCTTTTTCTCCGAGCTGCCGCTGCGATTGCACTCTCATCTTCTCAATCCTGTTGAAATGCGCACAGGTTCTAAAGTAGTGAAAGGTATGCGAGAAATGTAATTTGTTTTCATTTGTTACTTTTCAGCGCTACCTTTAAAGTTAATACATGTTTTAATAATTTATTAGACCTGAAAATGTGTGTAAAATTCGTAGAAACATGCGGGTTTTCGTGTATTCCTCCTATTCCTTTTTTTAGTACGCAGCTTGATTTTGTGCTCACACACACACACACACTTTGACTGGCACCCATACAGATACATGCACCGGCCGCAGGACCTACGGAAAAACGCTCGATTATGCTCCCAGCGGGCTGTGCTCCCTGCCAGCGGCCAAGTTTTATTATCAGCCTCGCCAGGAGACAAAAAAAAGCGGCGGCAACAATAAAACTCATAAAATATGTTTGCCATCAGACTCACAGCACAGTGGTGGCAAAAATATTGGCAACAAGATCAAAAATATGAGTACATTTAAGAAATTAGGTAATAAAAACAGTATTTCGAATATGCATAAAGTAAGTAATGCATTCAAATGAAAGCTTATAAAATTAAAGATGCTATGCTGCATATGAAAGGATGTAGCATCCTAATCAAAAGTATTTACCCTTGCTATTAAAATGGTTATCCATCTTTTAAAGTTGTTATCTTCTTGGTGCATTCTACGATTGGAATGAAGGCCATAAAGGGATATTCCTTAGAAAAATTACACGATTTTATGGCTTTGTCAAGACTGTATCCAAGTGGGCTGCAAGGCACACTTTGAGTTTGTGTTCGCTGCTTTATTCTTCATTTAACAGCATGCCCCACGGGATGTGAGTGACTATGTGGCGCCCACCCAGCGCGACCTTTGTTTCGCGACCCTCTTGGTGCTGGCCCCTTTGTTGCGCTCTTCTTTTGGGCTTATTATATTCCGCTGCCTTTACACTCATTTAAAATATTTTACAGTAATTTTGCTTATGGCTAATTTTAAGCTATTGCCCCCTGGCCGCCGGAGGAAAATCACCACCACCTGCTGCTGCGGTTTTCTTTACATATTTTGCGTATTGCGGGCCGCAATCTTTTATATGACAGCTATTGCTCCGCGGAGAATCATTCGCACATTTTTCTTCACTTCAATTCGCTCTGTTTTTCGGGCCTGGGCCCAAAAGTATTCGGTTAATTTATTATTACTTAAACTTGTGGCATGGCATTAGCCAACCGGAAAACTTTCACTTTATAAATTGACAATTTGTTATGAGTCTCTCTCATCGTTTTCTATTATTTATCTGCTACTTTACCCCCCGCCTCACGTCCGGCTTAAATTATTATCCATTCTTCATACAGAGCTGTGGGAATTGGGCAAACCTCAGTGGCTCTCTGGCGCCTTGCATAATTCAGAAGATGGCATAAAAATTAAACATTAAGACGACCACGGCAGCCACGGCACACTAAGCCGAGATCTCTGTCACTTTAGGTGCGGAAAAGAATTATGGATCTGGGCGGGATTTGTTTCGAAACTTGTGCAGCTTAAACGCTGTGCTGGGGTTAAGCTGTCTTGCTGTCGTGCTGTCGTCCAGGACACGAGAAGGAGCAACAAGGATGCTGTGGGAAAAACAATGAGAAGTGCCACAAAAGCCGCACGGCCCGGCAACAAATTCTAATATTGCTTTTGTTCCTTCTGCCTGCCATGATCCTTGTGGCTCCTCTTGTTTTCCCGGGCACGCACTTCGCCCAGTTGGCTTCAAATTGAGTTGTAAGCATAAAAAACCCGACCAAATGCTCTGGGGAGCAAGCGCCAGTGCGGCAAAAGTCAACTGCTGCTGCAAAGGCATCCTGCGAAGGACACTGGACAATGAACGATGTTGCACTGCCAAAAAAGCAATTTTTTCATTACTTAAAAAAAGTATGTTAAAAACATAAATAAACAAATCTTGCATATAAAAAACGTTCTTTTAAAATCACAATATAAAAAGGGACAATACCAGCACAGTCTATTTTTCAGATTATTGTCACATTTTTTTGTTCATTCTTCCAACACTTTTAGAGGTAAATTCTGGATAGGATTTGTTTAAGTGCACTTAAAGGACTGTTGTCCAAGTGGCAGTGTGAAGATATTTATGGCCGATTTCCAGGGAGTGCAGATGGTGTCTGCTGCGTCGTCCATCGACCACTTGCCTCGAGCCCCGCTGGTAAGCCGTTTAGGGTTCAATCTCAACGGGGTCCAGGTCGATCGTTTGAAGCCAACGCGTCGTATGAGTGATGTGTATGCAGTCAACAATTCGATTTCATGGCTGTTTGAAATGCACTTGCATATGAGGCAGCAGCTATCTCGTGGTTATGTTTTCCAATTCATTTAGGCGATGCAAAATAAGTTTTAAGTTATTTACACAAATGTGTGCACACTGCGAGGGCATTTTGCTACTAACAATTGCCACTAATTATTTAACAATTTATAAGCTTACACCAACAAAATGCAACCTCTGCCAAACATCATTTAATAAAAGGCTGTTATAATTTGGCTTAGCGCGAAGCTTAAATAATACCACCTGCTAAGCTGGCAACAGTTTATGTTTAGTAATTGAATTATGCAAAGCATTTAATGATTACAAAATATTTGTGGCCTTTTTCATGTCCATAATGCAACATGTCTTTATTGTTCTAAGCAACACAATTGAACAATCCCGTTCAAATACGGAATACATTCTATAAATACTTTTTTTTTTTAATTAGAAAGGCTAAAGGCCATGGAATGCTTATCTTACCGCGACATCACCGTCTAAAACACAATTGAATGCTCTCAATATTGTTACCTTGCTGAAAGAGACTTCAACCGATCCGCCAACAGGATAAAACTCGAACTACCCCATGAAAAAGGGGTAAATACACTTGAAATCCACTGTGGAATGTTAACTGCACTTATAGCATCCAGTTGCTGGAGCAACTGCTGCTGCTGGCTTAAGCGTAATGGAGGAAGAATGATACTCAAGGGGAGCACAAGGAGCAGAATTACTAGGGTTTAACAAATCACCTGAAACACATGTATATGTATATATTTATATATATATCCCTATATATAGCCTCACCTGACGCGTTGTTTACAGCACTTACGAATGAAAATAAACGCATTTCAAGCTAATTAAACAATAAAAGCGCAAGGGGGCGCCATCGCCCCCGAAAAGCAAATGGAATAACAAAGCAAATAAAAATGGAGGCGGGCGGATGTTCGGGTAATTCAGCAAATAAAAGTGCACGGCATTGGCATTAGTCGGTGGGCGTTGCCTGAGGGGTGGGCGTGGTATTACGCCCAACCACCCATCCCCCACCTGCCGCTCCTCTGACAGCTGACAAACTCGCGAGCGTGAAACGCCAGAGCGCACAAAAGTAGGCAACAAAGACGGCAGCGATGCGATGTGATGCGATTGCAACGATGGTGACGACGTGGCACAATGATGTTGCAATTTAATTTGTATTTGTATGGTATGGTGCCAGTGATGGAGGTGGAGGTGGAGATGGGAATGGGAATGGGAATAGGAATGAAATGGAATGGTTGCCACCGACACAATTGCACTGACGGCAAAGAAAATGCCAGCTCTGGTGATGATCACGCTGACGATGATGAGAATGGCAATGGCCATGCCGCGTCTGATGAATCCACTTAGATGACGGGCGCTTGGCAACGACAGCGGCAGCAACACCAACGTGCAACACCAAAGCAGCAGCCAGAGTGTCGCTTAATTGAACAGACAAAGGACAAAGTGACAGGCAAAGACAAAGCTGGAACAAACTACACGTGGACATGAAACTGGGTTCTTTAGCATGTTAACTACACAAACTGCAAATTAAATTGGCTTAAAAAACACCACCAACTTGAAATGGATTTGATTAAACCTGGAAATTATTTAATTCATTTGATATAACCTGATAGAGCTAAAGTTAGATTACACGCAGCACATTCCAAACACAGGCATTTAAATTTCGTACTTCTTGTATTTCTAAATACTATTGATTTTTTAATGCCTGTCGCCTACACAATTTGACATCTGATGCCGGAGCTCAATTGGACATAGAAAATGATTGAAATGCATGTTAATCCAGTCAGGCACGTGGCACAGGAAAAGGCAGGCTGAGTTAATCGCGGCACAGGCGCTTCAATGGTGGCTCCTCGTCGGCGGGGGCGATGGATTGGAGCAGCTTGGAGTCAGTGTGCCCACCAAAGAGGGTCAGCAACAGGGCAACGCCGTAGCCAGTGGCACGCTCCCCCTGAAGCAGAATAGAAATCATATTAAATACGCAGGGAAATAATTATGAAGCGGATGGCAGCCGGATCTAATCACTTACACAATGAACGGGCGTGGCCATATCGACGTGCATCCAGATGCCGGGATAATCGAAGCCAAGATGGGCGGCAATGAAGAGGCCGGCGCAGGAGGATTGGGCGTTCTGTCGATCCTGCAAAGCGGAAGGGAAATCTCAGTTAGACATGGTGACATATACGCTTGGATGTGTGTGTTCCTTTCCTTTGGAGGTCATTTTGTTGGTGTGGATATGGATGAGGATGTGGATGTGGATGTGGATGTGGTGTGCTGCATGCAACAAGCAAAACTTGGCGTCGCTTTATTAAAAAAGCGTCCTGTGGTGCAGCGCAACAAGAAAATATATTTATAGAGATGGATGAACAAACGAGGGTGGCTTGAAAACAAAGTGTTGTTGCTTACTTTCTTAGATACATTCAATTAAATGTGTACTTAGCAAAATCCCGAAATCAGTTCAAACAGCATGATAATAAGTAGAAACGCATAGTATTTCTTTCAATTTTCTGGCATTACCTCACCTTTGAAACGCCCCTCGCCAGCTGCAAGCCTGGGTGTGCTAATGCCTAAATTATATGCCATGCACTGGCAGCTGCGTAGCGGAAGCAGTCGCTCTACTAACTTGAGCGGAAATTGCAGCGCTTAAATGCCAAACATAAAGTACACTTTGAGCATGCACACACACACTTACACACTTGCACACTTACCCACACAGACAGTTGGGACCGGCCAAATAAAGGAAGAACCAGAACCAACGCACACATGCGAGCACTCTGCTGACAGTTGGCCAAAAAAAGGAGTTAACTGGCAGACTTCAGCAGCAGGAGCCACGGAATTGAGCGGACAGCACGACGACAGGACGATCGGACAACTCGGGGATGCAGTGCTGCGAAAATTACATGACAACGCGCTCAGTTCCTCCTCAAGATGAAAATCACATACACACTCACACACACACTCGCAGGGAGCGTGCAAACATCGTACGTCGAAAAGCGGAAGTCAAAAGTCCATTGAAGCAATAGAGCCCTGAACCCAGAGCCCAAAAACCCACAGCCAGACTTGAAGAATGAACTCTGATTTTCAGCACTGCCCCTCCACACATGAAAAATATTTTCAGAATTGAACCAAATAGCTAAAATTTAAGCATAAATACCAGATTCTTATCTGAAAACAACACAAATCGCGAAGATTTTAGAGTTAATTATGCATTTAAAACCTTTATAGATATAAGGGAATCTCTGAATTTCTTTCAGTGCATCTATTGTTCCAGTTTCAGTTGTTCCTGCCGCTGCTGACGAAACTGCATTTCTTCTCCGAACAGTAGAGGTACTGCTTTTGGCGTTTTTGCAGCTAATAACCAGCTTTTGTTATGAAACTTGCGGCTGAAGCTCTTCTGGCCAATGGTGCACATATAGCCGGCTTGTCGTGGCCGCTTCACTTCGGTTTGATTTGCCTGGAGTGTGTGCTACCAAAACTTTTCAAACGCAATGTTTCCCAATGGACCAATTTAATGAATGGCAAGCGGAAGTGGTAAGCCGCAGAGTTGCTGTTGGAGTTTTAACTTTCGAATACGTTTAATGATCAGATTGTAGCTCTCTCTTAATTCTTAAATGTATTTTAAAAGATGTCAAGCGAAATTAAGCACCCCGACATGTTCTTTAAACTTGGGAAAGTCAAGATGTTATTTCGCCCAAATAGGAAAGGTCAACAAGGTCGCGATGTAACTGTGGCGCTAATTAAATGTTTAACCTTTACCAAACCTGATCAGAGCACTCACGCACATGTGGCATTCAGTCCGAATCGAATCCAGTCGATTCGAGTCCGCCTTTCATCAATAATGGCAAACATTTGTCAACATAATGTCATTAACATTGATTGCATTAGACCCGTCCTGATTGTGTGTGTGCGTGTGCGTGTGCGTGTGTGAGCCCGATGATGTGAGTTTGTATCTGACTAGGCCTTTTGTAAATAACGAAGCAGCATCCAACCCGACCACCCACGTACCCGACCCAAATCTCCACCAGAGTTTGACAATGGGTCGCCGACTAATTGCGGTTTAGAACGTGACCATTCGAGAACCGCCCTGTGGCGTTTACCCCGCCGATATATACGACAGTTCAGGCCAACACCATCCGTATTCGCATTCGCATTCGCATCCGCACTTGCGATTAACTTGAATTGAAATTAGCCAGCCGGCGACATTGTCTCACATTCGAAGGAGCGGTTAGTGATATTCGATCTGTGATAACTGCCAATATGTATGAATGCCAGGAGTATCGCGAGATTACATCCATGACCGATTCACGCCCCGTGGCATCAAGCAGTTTGGAGTATCAATTACGCATTCATTCAATAATGGGGGCGAACACTGAAAAGGATTTGGCATCGATGCCATCGACTGGTTTCGCTGAAGGCGGCTACAGTTTTTATTCAATTTTCACGATGTCGCAGCTAGCGCTTTAAAAACTTTCCCGCCGCAGGAAAGAGCGCACAAAAAATGTATAAATATATATGCATATATATTCTTGGCAAAAGAGAATTCTGTAGTGAAAAAGGAAAATATTAGAAAACTCTGGTGATGCCCTTTCGACTTCCAACAGCTATAAAGATTTCATTTATTCGTATTTGCTGTTATACTATTAATGTTAGAGCCCGAAACGAATAGTTTATATACTTTTAAATGCCCCCTTTTTTTTAGATATGCCAATTTTAAAGTAAGCTTATGGCATCTCTGGTGCCGGAGAAAGTTGAACGGAAACCGACGAATAACAAGCGGAAAGATTTGTGTTAACAAAGTCGCCGCCCCTTCAAGTAGGCAACGGAAATGGGGATCATTTCGCAAATTACGTGACTTCCACGGTCCCCTTTTTTTCAAGAGCAGGCGAAAAATCTCCATGGCAAACTCGGCATTTGGACCACTGAGCTTGGGCTTAATTTATAAACTGCTGCGGCTGGCTTTAATCAAAAAACTTAACCCCGGCTAAGCATAACCGCAACAACGATGAAATACTCGGCGCCTGGAGGTCGTGCCGTAAAAAACTTTTGCCACATAAAAAGTTCAATTTAATTCATTAAACCGCGTAAAAAGTCGCCGTACAATTGAATTTAAAATGTCGACGCCCAATAAAAATCAACTGAAGTGGGGGCCGAAAACAAAAACAATTACGCATACACCGCGTGTGCGGCAAAAGACTGCAACACGTTGCTGCCACGGAATGGGTTTATCTAAAATTCATGCCCCCTCCGCGCCAAGGAAGAGACGGGGAGCAGCTTTTTACGATTTAACATAAAAATCAATTACCAACAATGGGAAAATTTCTCAGTCATAAAACGTCGAGTAACTTTCGACTTAGGTTCCTGTGCGACGACGTCGGGAAATTGAGAAACAATTGGAAATGTTTAAGCAAATTTTATTGTCCCGCCGCCGTGTTGCTTATGTTTTACTTATGACACCGCACCGTGGAGTTCTTCCACCACGAAAATCCTCCCAGAAAAGCAGAAAAGAAAGAGTCTGATTTACTCGACAGAAGCCAGGCCAGTTGAATGGATGAGTAGATGGATGGATGGCTTCTAGGTCGGCCAGTCGTCTCAGGGTCATAAAGTTGTCGAAACTCGGGATAATATTGTTTTTATTTTTCCCACTTTCTGTTTGCTTCTGCTCAGTGGACTGGAAGCTATTTGGTTTTAAAAAGCAAACGGCCTAAAGCTTAAAGGCAACTGAGAAGTTATTTGCTGACTATTGAAAATTAATGAGCAGTTACCCAGTTGTTACTGCGCACATTTGGGTTCATACAAAATTAATTTGGTTGTTCTAAAAATTAATAAATTAAGTAAAATTGGGGTGAAGCATAGAACTACAGGTTCACCTATAGTTCCATTCCATGTGTAAAATTCGATTTCGATATCATCATTAATGATCTAAAACGGGTATAGAATAAGCTCAAATCCTTTAGAAAGTAAAGATATATTTGTTATATCCTTTTGCAATTCTTTATTCTATAAAAGTGCGATTATGTTTATTGCCAGTATTAAAAAGCTGCAGCTGGCAGCACATTGACAGAGCAAAACCACAGACAGACTACGGCGAAAATGGCAATTTAAAAGTGGTCGCTGAACAGACCGAATATCCACCACCATCGATTCCTGCAGTTTGACCCAAAAAACGAGAACCTCCTAATTACCGGCTTAAATGGCTTCGCTTAATTCGCGAATACGCAGCATGTTTGAAACGAGGACACATATCCCTCCTGACAGCCAGCAGCCGCAGATATCACCACGCACCATGGGGATCACAACTCGAAAAGGGCGTAAAACAAATGGGAATACGTTATTTAAGGATGGGGGGGATCATCACCTGCCCAGATGACCATCTGACCACCACCTGCTCGTGCTGGGTCTTGCCAAAATGAGCTGAAAACCAAAGCCAGCGGCCAACAAAGCGCCCTGGCGACCGCTAACAACACTCATAATCCCTCCATTTAGTGGCAAACTAGGGGAAAAGACACCCGAAAGACCAAAAAAAACAAAAAAAACAGAAAATACGGCTGGTATAGGTGGTGGGTGTGGAGCGCAAAAAGCTAGCTCATGTAATTTAAACGCTGCGCGTGGGAATTTGCCTCAAAAGCCAGAAAAAATGCGACGACGGTGATGGGTAGTAATGGTAGTGATGGGTGGGCTGGTATTTCACCTTTTTCGCATTTAACGTTGAATGCATTTGGAATTTAAAACACTTTATCACAGACACCATTGACAAAGTGCGCGGCGCTGTCACATCAACTGCAGCACGGGGGCATCAAAGGGTTAAGAGGTGCGGCGTGTTGTGCGCAGTGTGGGTGTGTGTATGTGTGAGTGTGGCATGGCCATTCTGCAATGGTGTGATATTTTGACTTGATTCCCATTTTTTTCAAACTGCGAGATAGAGCAGCCTGACGAAAAATCAAACAGCCAACGTGCCAAAACCACACAGTGGAAATAATCCTAGCAAAAATAAACAATTATTGGGCGAAAATGAAGAACTTTACGTGCAACAAATTGAATTTCAGTAAAGTTGTAGTACTTTAAATTTAGCTGATATTTAGGTTAGAATATTAAGTGATTCTAAACTACATTCTTGATGGGGCTATTTAGCGATAAATATTGTGGTAAACAAAACCATATCTAAAGTGTTCCTATTATAGCTAAAAGTTGACACATTCCTGAATGTAATTTCCTAAGATGTAACATCACAAGTGATATGAAAAAGCTTCATAGATTCATAGTACTAGTACTATATTAAGGCTGTTGTGACTTATTTTTCCCGCGGTGTACTTATCGAAAGGTGGCAGCGTGGACGATTGGCAGGTAGCCAAAATTGCCACGCCACTTGACCTGCTCGGCATCTACGCACCATCCAGGCAACCAGCCAACCAGCCAGTCAGTCCTGTCAGCTCCTGGCACCTCACCTCCGCAATCCAAAACTCCAGGCCACCCAATCCACCCAATCCCCCCAGTTCATCCACCGCCCAAGCCGCCCACGGCGTGACAATGATGAATGACCATTGATCCGAGGCGCTTGCGACGTACAATAAGGTAACTCGATTTGGTTGGTTGTTGTGGCAGGAACTGGAACCGAACCAAACAGAACCAAACCGAATGGAGCGGGAGAGTCCCGGGGCTACGACGCACCTTGCTCCGGTGGCCAGTACCCAGAGATGGGTTTATGGCTCACCTAGTGCCATTGCAGTCCACCCTCGCCGCTCCGCAGCATTCCTGTCCAGGATTCTCTGGCTCTGGCTCTGGCTGGCCTTTCTAATGGCTGCGAAAGTGGCTGGTGGCGTAGATTGAACGCCAAAGTTTTTGATACATGCGAGTGTCGGAGGGTGCGGTGTGTGCCTGGCCTGCTTGGGTGTGTGTGCGGCATAAATCAGAGTAATACTAATCAATCTTTAAACCAAACATGACGTTCATCATTTTTCCACAACGGTGCGGTCGAGTGTAAGACAAAAGAACAACATTGAGTGCAAGCGATAAAGTTAATTAAAAATGTGTGTAAAATATCTCCGGAGAGCGCAAAATACAGTGGATTTGGATGTGTGGCGATGTGGGAAAACGCAAAATGAAAATGAATGGAGAACAAATGAATAAAGTTACATCGAAACTTGGTTACAACTTTCTCAAAGTCACTCGCTTTCGATCGAATAATACGGGTGGCCCGCAAAGTTCACAGCACGGTTGTCTTCGATAATGCATAAATTAAGTTACTTTTGGGCATTGAGTTCGGTGCAGACCTCTGTTAATCTAAGAGTCTATCTGCCACAGAAAAAGGCAGCAAGGTGCAACTGGAGATACCACAATGAAATGGCAAACGCAGATAGTTCAGATAGGATAGACAAAAAAGCACTTAAACTTTTAGGTAAAGAAATAACGAAATAACTTTTAGATAAAAAAAAGGTTACAATTACAAATAATTTACTATTTCTATTTTTTATCTAATAACGGTAGCTTAAAGATTTAATTTTTAAATGGTGCAAGAACATCCATCGAATTTTTCCTATCAGCTTTCGATTTGAAAACTAGTTTTTTATTGGTGAAAGAAGAGTACTTACCGCCACCGAGTTTTTCATATCAGCAATGGCCGAAGCAAATTCCGAGAAATGCAATTCGGGGCAATAAATTATGGACGCCAATAAATCGCCGGATTTGCGTCCAGCCTGCAACGACTTTGCCTCCCATGTCTCCGAGTTTGTCAATACGGCACCATGATATTTGCCTGTTGCAACGCCCTGGAATGAGAATAAAGTGGCAAATGTGGGATATAGTGCATGCGAAAATTCGTAAATGAAATATTCAAGGACCTGCTGGATGGGTATATATAGTTAAGAATGGGTTTCGCACCCAGTGGGGAGCGTTTGATAGAAAACAAGCAACAATCAACAAAATGCCAGCAATAAAACTGTACACCAACTAACAATGTTAGGATGAAGACAAAGGGGGAAGCGGGGGTAGAGGGGCAAGGGGCACGAGGCACGAAAATTGCGAGCTTCCGACGCGGCTGGCAATAAAAAGGTGCAAGGTTATTTAGCACGAGCAACACCCAAACAACAGGCAAGCACTCCGTGGCGCGTGTTCCACTGCTGCTGGACAAATAAAGGCAGCGCCAGGAGCTGCAACAAAGCACTGCCAGCTCTGCCAGGAGCAAGAGCAGCAGCACTACACTGCGAAAAACATACAATAGCGGCCCATATTTAAGAAAATTTTTAATATTTGACAATAGTTTCTTGTTTAGGGAATATCAATATCGTGTTTCTTTATCCTAAATCTACATTATTGTACTTATTGTACTTATGTTCTGTTTTGCTGTATCAACTAAACAATAGTAAGATAACTGCCAACACATAAATAACGAACCAATGTCATTCACTAACAACCCTTTTAAAGAAATCTATTTAGGAAATGAGAGGGACTGTCATCATTTCTCCCAGTGCATCCAGTAGCCGTCACAGAGCAGAAAACAACTGCAAAAGGTGTAACAAGGCAGCAGGAACATAAAATGTAAAAGCGAAAAAGTGTTGGTTGCCTGCTTTTTGTTCCTGCAGCGGCTGTGGAAGTGGCAGTGGCAGTGGCAGTTGCCCCAATGCTGGCAATTAATATTATTGCATCCCGTCTAGGTGTGTGTCTGGGTGTAATGAAATTAAGCACAACAAGCGAGCCAAAAACGAACGAAATTCTGAACAAAATGGCAAAGCGTGGAAATGTTTAGAAGATCGATGGTTTGTGCCATTTTTAGGCTGGGTAACCAAACCAAAGCGAAGGAATTTCGCTGCGAACAATGCAGATTTTGGCGTGGGGGGGTTGAATAAAAAAAAGCCCAGATGCCACGCCCCTCTGACCAGTTTCGATTTATTTCCCATCGAACCACAAATAACGTAAATTGGCATCATATTTTAAGCAAATTGCAGTCAAGATTTATGGTAATTGTGCGCCATCGCAGCAGCTACTCAGTTGCTCCCCCTTCCCTTTTACGCTGCAATGGAAGCAAAACACCCACCGCCCACTGTCACGCCCCCCGCCCCTCACCGCAACGTTGCAACCCGAAAGCGACCACAATCGGCGGATCCTTTGCTGTTGCTGGTCTGCCAATGCTGGCGCTGCTATTCCTCCAAGTTGCAGGCGAAAACCAAATTTGCAATTTATTTTTCCAATTAACCTCGTGACTTTTATAAAGCGTGGCATAAATTCTCGAATAACAAGGCAGCGCAGCCAGTACATCCAAGGCCACCCACCCAGCCAGCCATTTCCCAGTTCCCAGTTACGTGGCACAAAGATCTCTCGAAACCGAAATTACCTTGGACACCGGCAACATCATTTGCTGGCTGCATTAGTGGCAGGAATGTGAATTCAATCCGGTGAATTGTTGCCTTTAATGCGATTAAGGGGGGCAGAAAGAAAGTTGGCAACTAATTGCAGCCTCGCGGGTAAAAATCGGTCAGTCCATAAGGTTGATTCCGTAAATTATTCTAAATTATTCAATGAAAACTATTCGTATTTATCAATGCTTACATTGTTCTGTACATATGGTAATTTAATGCGTTTTTTGTTGTTTTGTTTGACAATAGATGACAATCAAAACAAGATAGAATGCTATAGTCGAGTTCCCCGACTATCAGATACCCGTTACTCAGCTAGTGGAAGTGCAAACGAAAAATTAAAACATTTTCTGGATATTGGTAGAAAAAATAATAAAATGAAAAAAAAACTTAAGAATTTTTTTAAAGTGAGGACGAAGCCAAAATTTTTTTTGCTAATCTATAGAAAGTTACAAGATATATAAAAAAATGGAAAAATACCACATTTTTCAAAAGTGTTGGCGTGACAGTTTAGGGCGGTTTGTGGGCGTTAGAGTCGGCGTGACAAAAAGATGTTGGCTAATTTATAGAAATTTACATTATACATTCAAAAATGTAAAATATCACATTTTTCAAAAGTGTGGGCGGAAACGTTTCCTTCTACCTACCTCCTTTAGAAGTATGCCACTTTAAAATCCGATTAAGATAAGTTGAGTCATGGAGTATAGAACTTAAGCCTTGGGACATTTAATTTTTTTGAATTTCTACACATCATACATCAGAAAAATTACAAAAAAAATTTAAAAAGAATAAATTTCTAAATTTGAATGCAGATTTTTAGAGAATTGCGAGAAATTTAGAGAAATATACTTTATATGGTCTGGAACGCTTCCATCTGCCTGTTACATAATTTTCACCGAATCTAGTATACCCTATTACTCTACGAGTAACGGGTATAACGAATAAATATTTCGTTTGCCTTTTTTTCACAAAATACTAATTCTTTAAACGCTTTTCCTAATTTCTATGTGCACATTCCCAGACTAGAATAAATTTAATTGATTAAACTGGAAAATGGTATAACAAATAATCACGTGTTAATCACGTGGCACATTCCTATCAACATTTTATAGAATGCCTCACCTGAGCTCCAGTCAATGTGGCCATGTCGAGAATGATGTTGGCCTTCAGATCCTTGTTGGCAAAGCAAACGCCATCGGCGAGCACCAAGCGGCCCTCGGCATCCGTGTTGTTGATTTCCACTGTGCGGCCCGAGTAAAGAGTGTGAATATCATCGGGGCTGCATGCAAAAGTGAGCACATTAGTACTTGGCTGATCCACTGAAGGCTAAACTGATTGTAGAACTCACCGAGTGGCATTTGGACCCACGGAGTTTTCGGCCAGGCAGAAGACGGCATGCAAGTTATCCCTAAATCCGCACTGGACAGCCGCGTAAAAAGCTCCGAGAATCGCCGCAGCTCCGCCGCAATCGCGTTTCATTCCAGGCATGCCGGTCTTGGCCTTGATGCTGAGGCCACCGGTGTCGTAGACGATGCCCTTGCCGACCAGAGCGATGGTCTCCTGGGCGCACTTTGGCTCGTGGGAGAGCACTACGAGGGCAGGCGGCACATCCGCAGCTTTGCCCACGCCGTAAATGCCGCCAAATCCACGCTCACTCAGCTCCTCGCCACGGATTACTGTTGGCGTGATGCACAGCTCTCTGCCCACTTCCTCGATTGCCTGGATGAAGTGGTCCACGTTCATCTCGTTGCAGGGCATGTCTACAATGCGAGCAGTCAGTCGAATTGCCTTGGCGGTCTCATTCAGGCAATTAAGCTCGTCATCTGTCAAAGGTTCGCACTCTATGCCACCATCCTTGTTGATTAAAACAAACTCAACATTGACTACGTTGCGTACTGAATCAGTGCTTCCATCGCCTTGACCTCCGCAGCCAAGCCTTTGCTTGGACTGGTTTGAAGCCAGCAAATTGCCCGTTTTGCGGGAATAGAGGGGAAAAGCCCGGACCACCGCACAGGCGCTGGCGAATAGATTCTCCCGTTCGCAGACCAGCACCACGCTCTCCTCAGAAACGTTCAGCACATGGTTCTTCACCAGGCGAGTGATGGCATGAGCCCGGGATGCGGTATTGTGCCGGGAGGCCTTCAATGGCAGAGCAGCCACGGTGGCCACATCGAGGTAAAGGGACACCTTATCGGTGGGCGCCGGATGCAGACAGGCAACAGCATTCAGGAAGGTCTCCTCGGTGACGCGTGGACTGAGTTTGTTCTCTAGATGGCTGAACTTCAGCAGATTCAGATGGCGCAGCTGGCCGATGATCAGGACCGGGTGTGTCTGCGGATCACTGCAGCCTAGCGAGCTGTTAAACTTCACGTCCGTGGCCATCTGTAAGAGAATATGTATACGAATGAGTAAAGATTGGTGTTTCAAGACCCGGTAATGCTAGTCAAATCCCAGTGAAAAGCCGCTTGTATTATCTTATCGGTGCTAATCTGCCGTTTACTGCTCCAAGTGCCCCACTTGCTTATCGCTCGACGACTTTGCACCACAGGGGCGGTCAGTGGATGCAGCCACCCATAAATCACGAGAGCTAAGACCGGCGAGATAAGCAGTGGCGCTCGGGTTTTGGGTAGGGCCATCTGGACAAGCAGGGGGTTACTCATCGGTTGCAGGCGAATGCAATGTAGCAGGGGAATTATAAAAAGATACACAGTACTGTTCAAATATAACATATGTACATAGGTCAACATATATTATATTTGAACTATGATTATCGGATGCATGTGTGAATTAACGTAGCGCAAGTTTGGAGTTGTGGAAGCCACCTAACTATATTATTAAGAGTAGGATCAAAAATAAAATTAATTATCTATTGCATTTAAATTGATCAGATGAATATTGATTTACATAGAAATATGTATAATAATTATTTTCATACATTATTCATAGTTTTGCCAAATGCAAGAAAATATCTTCTAAATTCTGACGTTTTTTTTTCAAATTCATGTTTTTTAATGTTTTGGTACAATAACAATATTTTATATGTTTTCGTACACTAACAATATTTTATACTTTACATTTGAACATTTAGCTATCAATTTTGCAGTTTTACCGTGTCAAGGCAATAAAAACATAAACTACAACAAAAGATATCGTTCAGCACATATCTTTACGATTCTCCATAAACTCCAATGGGTTTTATAAGCCAGACATTATTGTGAAAATTGGATTTAAATTTGTATACCGTAAATGCCAGCGTGACCTTGACAACAAGAACAACAAGTGGGTCGTTGACCGATTCGCGGCTTTCGAAACCGAAAAGTGGGTAAACATCTATACACTTATTTTCAATTGGTTTTGACTAGACAGCCGATATATAGAAATATGGAAAAGCGTTGTGCTAATTCTATATTATCTATTTTTAGACTCTTTGTTCGCGATTTTCTCAGTTGCAAAATGTTTTTTGCACATTTGTTGCCTTTTTGTTGCTCACCTTTTTAAAGCGGCCGGTGCTGTAGGTGCGAGCGAGACTGTTGCGTATTGCCTGGACGCCGAGCAGCAAACGCATTAAGTGCCTACTTTAAAAATTGCAAAATAGTTTGAACAAAATGGCGATATAATATTTAACTATTTCGTTGCCAATTTGACTTGCAATTTTTTTGCTTGCCGGCTCCTAGAGATGTGACTTGCACAGCGATAAGTCGATATCGATTAACTATCGATAAGTGCCGCACAACATTTTCTTTCAGTCTGGCAGCACTGCCAGTTTCGTGGAAGTGTCGGCCCTAACAGAGAGTACCACCTCTAACTGGAAAGCAAAACAAGCGTCTGGAAGGAAAAACGGCGCTGAATTTTTGAAGATCTTAATTAATTACAGCAAATTGAGTTTTAAAATGGCAATAATTATGGCTGAATCGAGTTATGAAAGGCGCGTAAAGGCTTTGTACGAAAAACAAATTCGCATGGAAACCCTCGAGGGAAAATTCATCAAAAAGGTCTTCAAATTCAACAGTATTTTGTGTGAGTTGATGGAATTTATCTCTATTTAACCACTTTAATTGCTCTATTTTACTTATCATTTTAGTGGATGTCAAAGAAGCAGCTGCGCGCCATCAGCGAAAAGTGGAAAAGATGCAAAAAGTCGTCATCGAGCGTCGGGAGGAGTTGGAAAAGAGAGTTTCCTTCATGGGGCAACTTGCTCAAGAAGTGGAGGCCACCAAACTTCGAAATTTGGCCATGAAAGATCGGATTAAACAGCAGAAAATGCTAGCCAGAGAGCGTAATAACGAAATAATGGAAAGGTCAGCATTCAAAGATTACCATATTAAGATTCACTTAGTAAGAATGAGAAGCTAATCTTTCCTCGTCTGCAGAGGGTGCGATTTTGTAAATCTTGTCTAGAAAATGCAGGATAATAGTATATTGAATTGCCCTATTATACTAGTGTATCCATCCATAGTGTATCTATCCGAAAGTCACTCTATCCAAAACTACCATTTATTTTATTATTTTTTAAAGGTATGATTCCGCGACTTGTAACGCGGTCATTTATAATAATGGGATCAATATCTGTTCGTTTGTTTTATTGTATAGGATTCACACGCTGTCGAAGACAACAGGAACATATGTAAATCAAGAAGCGCTGCCAGCACGTGTGAAGGGTGTCACTGTACTCCGTGGCGATAAGCGCGACCAGTTGATACCCTTTGATCTGAATGCAACCGATGCCGAAGGACTGAACTCGCTTTGTCAGCATCTCGAGAGCCTAAATGTCGACGTGTCGCAGTGGCAGCAGCTTGTCTCGCTGGTTATGGATGTGACTATGGAAGCACGTGCTCCTACTACTCCGCCTAAGGAAGCAGCCAATTGCAAGTCCATAATTGAGATTGATCTCACCTCGCCGACAAGTTAGAGCTGACTTCCGATTAAATGATTTGCTTGGCCTGGGGAAGCCCCTCTGCCAATGGAGCACTTTAATTTGGCATAATAAATAGTTGGCGACTAATGATAGCTCTAATTGGGAACTAATCTTAACAAATTAGGCGTCTTATTTGGATTGCAGTTAACGCGTTAAGTACACCTTGTAATCTTTTAAATGCCCTTTTAATTATACATATACTTCTTACGACAAATCAACTCTTTTTGGGCCATAAAAATTATATTTTTCCCTATTTCTGATATTGTATCAATATCTTTACATATTTTAGGAGACATCGCCAATAGGCGACACAAGATTAGGAGATGCCACGAATGACTACAATGTTGGTTGATTGGAATTAATCATATTCAAAACCAGTTATTGAATGGGATAGTTTCAAATCACAAGTGTAACAAGTCTTGTAATCATATTTAATTACATTTGCGACGCACAAGTAACTAAAAACTAAACTAATTGTAAGTCTGTCTATTTGATTGATCGGTTTTTAAAATACTCAAAAGAAAAACTATTTGGTCTATTCCTATAAGTTCCTTGGGTTCTTTTCAAATATATTATTTAATTTGTAGCATAAATATATTAAAAAGAAACCTATTTTATCGAGCACCTCTTAAGAGAACTTTTGACATGGCGGCCGGTGTTAATCGAGAAATCTCAAAAGTCATAAACGCCTCAGAGTGCCACCGTCTAACCGATCTATGAATAAACAGCGATCCATATAGATTGGCGTTGCTCAATTGCTATTGTCCGGCGAAAGTTTGAGCGACTTATCGTGGCTACAAAAACTCAGCCGCACCGCAGCCACGGGCTCAGTTGGTGTACGGAATCCACGATGATCACGGAAATTCTCCTGGCAATCTGCACCGCGGTGTTCCTCTGCCTTTCGTATCGATATGCAGTCGGTCGACCCTCCGGCTTTCCACCTGGTTCGTTTTGGATGGCCTTGCGTCCTGGGAGCGTCGCTAATCGGATTATTCGCAGGTCCTCCGAGGATTCCGATGTTCGGCAGCTACCTCTTCATGCTGATCATCAACTTTAAGTACCTGCACAAGGCGGCTCTGACCCTCAGTCGGTGGTATAAGTCGGATATCATCGGACTGCATGTGGGTCCCTACCCGGTGGCCGTTGTCCACAGCGCGGATGGAGTGCGCGAGATTCTCAACAACCAGGTGTTCGATGGACGGCCTAAGCTTTTCGCGGCCGCCATGCGTGATCCTGGCCAAGATGTGCGAGGTGAGTCCAATCATATCGCCCAGCGATTGTGGACTTATTATGGTGTTGTTGAAATAATAAGGGGGTCAATCGCGAATTAATTGTTGCGGCTGGCGAACAAAACACTCTTATCGCTCGGAAACGATTAACACTTGGCGCACTTCTGCCAAAGAAATAAAATCTTGTTTGCTTAGTTTTCCAGCTTAGAACTATTAACTAGTTATTATTATATTATATTATATTATCTTTTGATTAACGCAACTGTATGCTTAAACTTAAAGTAGTTGACTTTGGTTGGCCCCTTGACTGATGAGACTAATGATTGATGGCTTTTTAATATTACTAATTAATTTTGGTCGCGCTTTGCAGGCATCTTTTTCCAGGATGGCGCCCTTTGGAAGGAGCAGCGTCGCTTCATCCTGCGTTATTTGAGGGACTTTGGCTTCGGACGACGCTTCGACCAACTGGAGCTGGTAATCCAGGAGCAGTTGAACGACATGCTGGATCTCATTCGCAACGGCCCGAAGTATCCGCATGAGCACGAGATGGTGAAACCCGGAGGATACCGCGTGCTCCTGCCGCTGCTCTTCAATCCATTCTCGGCCAACTCTAACTTTCACATTGTGTACAATGAGTGCCTGAGTCGCGAGGAAATGGGCAGATTGGTGAAACTCTGCCAGATGGGCATGCAGTTCCAGAGGCATGCGGACGACTACGGCAGAATGTTGAGCATCATGCCCTGGATCCGCCACATTTGGCCCGAGTGGAGTGGCTACAACAAGCTGAATGAGTCCAACCTATTTGTGCGCCAATTCTTCGCCGACTTTGTGGATAAATATCTGGACAGCTACGAAGATGGTGTCGAGCGCAACTTCATGGATGTCTACATCGCTGAAATGTGTCGTGGTCCGGGCTATGGTTTCAACCGGGATCAGATGATCATGGGCCTGGTGGACTTTTCCTTTCCGGCCTTCACTGCCATCGGAGTGCAGCTATCGCTCCTCATCCAATACCTCATGCTCTATCCGGCAGTACTCCGTCGAATTCAGAGCGAGATCGACGAGGTGGTGGGATACGGACGTCTGCCCACCCTGGAGGATCGCAAGAATCTGCATTTCACGGAGGCCACTGTTCGCGAGGGTCTGCGCATCGAAACGCTGGTTCCCTCGGATGTGCCGCACAAGGCACTGGAGGACACCGAATTGCTGGGCTACCGGATACCCAAGGTTACTACTACTACTACTTATCCGAAAACCTCACTATTTTCTACTATCTACCTCTAGGACACCATTGTCATGCCCAGCCTGTATGCCTTCCACTCGGACTCCCGTGTTTGGACGGATCCGGAGCAGTTCCGGCCGGAGAGGTTCCTGGACGCGGAGGGAAAGCTCAGCCTGAAGCTGGATGTCTCGCTGCCCTTTGGAGCGGGAAAACGGCTCTGTGCCGGCGAGACATTTGCGCGCAACATGCTCTTCCTGGTGACGGCGACCATGTGCCAGCACTTTAACTTCGTCCTGGGCCCCAATGATCGGTTGCCAGATCTCTCCCAGAACCTCAATGGACTGATTATTTCGCCACCCGATTTCTGGGTGCAATTGCAGGATCGACAGTGAAAGTATCCAAGATAGAGCTTAGTGATTTTAAGACAAAGTAATTTTACTAATTTAGATATTGGTTAAAACGAATCTTTCCACGTGGCTAGTTTGCATAGATGGCTTTTGAGGATAACTGCCAATATTACTATATGAAGCACAACCGACTATTTATTTGAGCATTTGCGTATATGTACATTTGCGAGTGGGCGTATTATTGTTCGCCATCGGAATCGGAAATGTAATTCTGTAGCAGCGGAACTTCTGGAAATGACGCGGTTGGAATGAGATCGGTTTCCAAATTCTCCTCATTTTCACTATATATAAATCCAACGTATTCAGAATCAGAGCTATCATTAGATATGTTCTGTTCCAAGGAGCTGGTGGATGAAAAACTCAAAGAAACCAGCGAAGCAATCGAAGAATGTGTTGATAAAATGGAAGTCTGGATACCGTCTTGCTCGGAGTCAGAATCCGGGTTGTATCCATTCTCATCCTCGAGATCGTCTTGATGCACCACGGATGAGTTGTCCAAAGGATCCACTATGTTTCCATCGGTTTCCATCGGTGCAGCGTGAGTCTCTTTGCGCAACTCCACCACTTCTTTGAGGATCTGGTTCTGCTCCTCCGCAATGGTGGCCACCTGCTGCTCGAGACTGCAGATCTTGGCCTGGTATTCGACCAGTTTCTGCTTCAGCTGGCAGTTTTCAGCCTGACATGTAGCCAATTCCAAGCAGGCGCACATGGCGATCTTGGCGGCGTCCGAGTGTGGGGACCTGGTACTATGTGCAAACCACATTGTTACACATGGAATACAGGAATTTTCTATATCCGATATATATATTCACGTATTTGATCACATAGGAAATGAACAAAGACGGATATCGAATTCAATTTCTTTGCCGAAACTTACATGGTTAAGGCATGGGCTTCCTTATTATGAACCGGGCAATCGTGGGACATTTTGAGACTTGAAATTTATAGGCAGTTCAGTTCAGCAATTGTCTCTCGAAAATTTCCCGCAGAAATATTTGACACTGTTTTCCTGTTCTCTTGGATTTGAGTGCAAATGAACTTCTGTACTACTGAAAATCTAAAACTGACAGCTATTTCCAGGCCACTAGATAGTAATTTCAAATTCAGCCTATGCATTCTATTTCGTATAGATCTTAATAGCCAAATTAAAGTACTCTTATTTGACAGGGAAATCGCGCGATTCACAACGTAAGTCGAATTACTGCGGATTGTTTTATTAGCCGCGCTGATAACACAAATAAAATAGCAAACTGCAAGATAGGGTGAAAACACTTTGACCAGAATGTTGTTATCAATATTAAAATAAATGTGTGTCCACAAAAAAAGGAGAGTGAATAGCTGATAAAACGACAAGTTGTTCGTTGTAAAACGGTGATTTACATTCACTATCAAATAAGTGAATAAATGATAAGAAAGCAAGTTTGTTTCTCCACGCCGAAGTTGATATATAAATTCATAATTTATACTAATAGCCATAATATGTAAATTATTGTATATGTCCGTAAAATACATTTATATATACATATATATTCATGTTGTACTTAAGGCATAATAGTACTAAAATCCATGGTGTGTAAATATTATACTATAAGATTGACTTACGCCTTCTGGTGACTTTATCAGCATGCATTTGCGCGCCGATCGCATGGAGCTGCATTTCCGGGGACACCTCATGGGTCTTCTTGCTTTGCAGGACGGCGGCTTCCGGGAACATTTCGGAACTATGGTCCTACGGCACCTCCCTGCACATTTGAGTTCCTCCGTATGACGTCGATGACGCGTAGTGGAGCTTTTGGTGAGGTATCGGTTCTGGTACTGCAGGGTGTTGATGGGAGTGCACAGGATTAAGTTCGCAGATCACGGGGAAATGTATTATCCCTAAGAACTTACTTTCGATCGACAATGGCGCTTTTCTCGCGAACTTAATGCATTCCAGCACTCCGCGCCCTGGCGCAGTCCGTCCTCCATTGGGACGTCCTGGGATGCAAGATGATTTTCAATCGTGAAACTTAAAAACCCGTTTGGATATGGTTCCATAACAGTTTACACTTATTTACTACCGTACTAAAATTTGAGGTGCGAAGCTAAAAAGTTGTACAATACATTTGGCCTTGACAAAGTGAAAGGTAGAATTTTCATGGGTTGCTGTTGCTAAGTAATATAAGTGTAAACTCAAAGCTACTCTGTTTTCATTCGAAAGAGCATTCAGTTTTTGGATTTGATACACAACTCTTCGTTGGCCTTAGTTTATTATGATGTATATTACAATTTGGTTAAAAACTGTTCGCTTAGCCTATCAACAAGCGGTTCAACTTCAAACTTAGAGATAATTTGTCATTACATTTAGCCGTATTAGATAGGCGAGAGTCGTTCCTAGGACCCTTCTCCAAATATTGCTTCCACTCCTAAATATCAGCTTACGGACTAATTGATTTATATTCACGTTGGGCATGGACCTGCATCCATGCCATTAACTTGGCTAATACTGGCCCCTTCCACCGCCACTTCCTCCGATCCCCAATTACCCCCCCTAGGACCTTGACCAGCCGATTATCCTCGATGTAAATGTAAATGGCTTCGGTTTTAGTAGTAGGCCTGCTTTATGGCCGCACTGGTGATGAGGAAAGCGGAGCCAATCAGCATGAAGGTGATGATTTTGAGAGCACTGGGTCTACCGGAAGAATCTGTGGAAATTAATATATATTTAACTTATATATCCACCCAAAGGAATTGGTTCGGCCTAATGACCACACTTACTTTTCTTATTGGGCATCACACGAATGCACTGATTCTGATTGGCGTTCGCCGAGTAGCCAAGTTTGCACTGACACACGGAGTTGCGGCACTCCACGTTCTCTGGATCCTTCTCTATATAGCAGTCTGTGGCCTTGGTGCACGACTCTCCCAGCTCTGCAGGATTCCAAAATCATATGTGTATTAAAATATAAATAATTATAAAAATCGAAGGGATTCAATTACCTCGCTTCGTCTCACAGACTCCATACTTCTCGTGCTGCTCATCGTTGCATCCACACTTGCCCTCCGCATTGCAGCTTGCCAGGAGGGGCTTGCACTGCTCATCCTCGACGCACTCGTCCTCCAGCTCCTCGGCTGTAATAAGCGTAATGAGAGCATGATGAAAGCCAAAAGGCTTATAGCTTTCGATTACAAACCTTCTTTTAGACACTGATCCTTGAAGTGCACATATCCCTTGCGGCACTGGCAGGTGCGCGACTGATCCTCCTCGTCCTTATCCCGGCATACGGTGTTCTCAACTATGCAGTCATCCTCCACCGAGCAGTCGGCACCGATGCCCCGCAGGCACAGTTCATCCTTCTCGAAGTAGCCATCCGCACAAACGCACACCCGGTTGGAGCAGACGGAGTTATCCACTGGGCAGGCATCGTTGGAATCGCACTCGGCACCCAGGCCGTGTTTGTACTCGCACAGCTGCTTGATGGCATCGTACAGGGCGTACTCCTCGCAGGTGCACCTCCTCGGGATCTCCGGATGGCAATAGGAGGCTCCGAATGGGCTGCACTGGCTGTTCGAGGTGCAGGACAAGTGGTATTGAATGGCTGTTGTGGGTGGAGAAGGGTTTATTAAACGAATTCGGAGGCCATCGAAGGATCCACCTACGTTTTCTGCAGTTGCGCAGATCCCGCTCGTAGAAATAATTCTTTTGGCAATTGCAAGTTTTGGTCACGTCATCGAACTCGTACTCGCACTCATCCGTGCTCTCCGCAATTTCCCCCAACTCTGCAGAATTTTCATTTCCTTAATACGAGACTTTAATAGCAACACATCCGTTTTACTCACCGGCAAAACATTTGCCATTGCGGGCATAGTAACCCTGGCGACATAGGCAAATATTTTTGGAGCAAATCGAGTGCGGCAGACCCGAGCATGCCTTTCCATTATCCGTGCAGCTGCTGCCATCTAAATGGGCAGCAAATAGTTGAAAAATATTTAAGAATGCTCAAGCATTAGGGAGGCTCAACTGTGAGCACTCCAGAATTCGCGTTTTTATGCTTCTACAGATTTAGGGGCAGCGATTGATACTCACACTTCTTCTCATCGGCATCGTCGTCATCGCGGCTGGAGCCCAGCGTGGAGTAGGTCTTGATGTCCTCGTCATCGAAGCGGAAGAGGGCGGGCAAGCGGCGGCGGTGGCCGTGGGCGTGGCTCTGGTTGCGGCTGGAGTTGCGCCTGCTACTGGTGCTCGTGGAGGCGGTGGCTGTGGTGGTGGTGGCCGCATTGCGCACACTGCGTCCCACCTCCCTCAGCTCGTACTTCTCGATGCTCGTCTGGACAGCAATCTCGTGGGATCGGGGCGAAATGAGGGGCTCGGCGTCGCCATTTGTGAGCTGGGCGAAGGACACCTGGGCGGCGGCATCGCTGTGAGAGGGCGGGGGTGCGTGTACAAAGGCCTTGGTTAGCTGCCTTCGGCTCCTGAAGGGCGTCTCCCGTTCCTGTTCAAGCTCGGCGTTCTCGGTGATCGCCTCCGCTGTAGTAGAATCATCCTCTGGCGAGCCCGGATTGGTCGTCTCCGTATCCTCGGCCCCGCCACCCGGAGTCGTTGTGATCTCGTCCACATAGGTGCATACTAGGCCAATGCACTCGGCACCGGAGCCCAGTGCATCACAGTCCTCGTTGACGACGCAGGCATCGTTTTCTTCTGGAATCACAAATATAACTTGCTTATTTATAGAGCCAATTGTAAGCACAATTATAGCCTAGTAACCTTAAGTTTATTCATTTATAGAATGGGATTTGGTTAAGAACTGCTCTACTAACACATACCCATTGATTTGCGACGGCAGATGTTTCCATATCTGTTATAAAAGCCATTTGCACAGCCGCACACGTTTTGCTGACAACTCACAGACGCACGATCGTAGCCAAAATAGCAGTCCAAGTCCTGCAAAGCCAGGAACCAAAGCGAACTTATAAATGAAGGATGTGGATTGGAGGACTTGACTCACCGTTTCGCAGGACTCGCCGAGTCCGTTCAGTGGGCGACACTTGCCACGCAGATAGTTCTTGCCATCGGCGCAATCGCAGACCCCGGCTTTACAACTGGCCCCCGTTGGCATAAGATTGCACTGGACGCTGTCGTCGCACTTTTCACCAATGAGGGACGTGGCCAGGCATTGGGTGAAGTTCTCCGCGAGCACCGTATCGAAAGTGGAGCACTCGCACTGGCCGCTGGCCAAAACGCAGCTAGTACCGTCAGCTGTGCAGTCCGCTCCGCTTTCACATGGCCAAAATACGGCCAACACGCCGCCGTCGCCTGCAATTGGTTAAGAAATGGGTTAGGACAGCAGCCAGCTTGGTTAAAAATTAACCTCTCCACGGTGCCTGTGACCACACAATCGGATGTGTCGGGGCGACCTAGTTTCGGGTGCCTCACTTTCGGGCCACTTAATTATTCAAAACGGGCTCCAGTTCACACATTTGATTAACTTTCGGTGGGTTAGGCACAAAAAATATTTTGAAGTCAATGCTCAGCAACATCCCTATAATATCCTAATCGTTAGTTAAAAAGTTCCTACTAAAAACTGGAGGAAAAAAAAAACTCATTTTTGAAATCATGCAAGTAAAAATCAACAAATAGTACATAGAAACTTAAATCTCATATAATTTCTGCTCTGTTAAGATACTATTATAAGTGGTGTATACATTTAAATTGGATTGGATTTAAATCGCTCCTTGATCCGATAAATTTGTAATTGGCTGAACATCCTAGTCAATCTGGGCAGTGCCACGCCCACTTATCTACCTGTCCAGCTGATTATTAGCCCAATACCAGGCCACTCCATGCTTCCATAAGCAAAATTCTCAGCGTCGCGACGGGCAAAGCTTCTTTAGGCACGCAACGTGTCGGGGCCGCAATTTATTACGTATACGCCAACGACTTCCGGATGAGGTTGCGGCATCGAAAAAATTTCCATATAAAACGAACGCGAACGGGAACGCGAAAAATGGTAATAACAATAACAATAGCAATAGCACAGAAAAGAACAAAGGAGAGCTGAAATTCGCTGGACGCTTTGCCACTTTAATTTCCATTTTCCGTGGCCGGCAAAACAATTTCTCAAACCGCAAAGGACCTTGGGACGTGGACATTCGTGCGAGTCCTTTCCAGGGGGGGTGGCGCTGGGTGAGTGGTGGGGTCAATAGGGCAAAGTACTTGACCTTGATTGCGTTTGCATTAATTACTTGTGGTTCTTTAATGTTATGACTGTCGTACGCCTACATTTATTTGTCCACCAATTTGGTCAGCGCCCTTTCGATGGCCTCACACCCGATTAATCGTGGCTTTAATTCAATTACCGGAAATCGCTCGCCACATTGGGCCACATGATTTCCCCGACTTTTGTTTTCATTTCGCTCTCGCTATTTATTTATTTTCTTTTTTTTCTGTTTTGTTACCTTGAGGACGGAGAACCGCACAACAAAGGACGCCGAGCGTTAGAAACCATCGGAAGTTTGACATTTTCCCGAACTGCTGGCTAATATGGCCAAAAGGCAACTGACCATTTCGCATGGGGATTGGGCTATATCGAGTGCCCGATTCCAGTTAATCTTATCTCTGTGACGGCCATAAAAACACTCATACATCGATGATTAACCGGTGGCAATCGGCGGTTTTCCCTGATAATCCTAATTTGAATTATCGCAATCTGCAGTTTCTGTGGGCGAAATGTCACCACAGTGATTACCCATTTATTTGGCGGCTCTCTGGCCACTTAGAGTGGTATCGGTGGTATCAAGAGGGCGCTTATCAGCGACCACCACCTGCTTTGCACACCTGTTCTTCGGTCTAATGGTTGTAGTAAAATGTTATCCCATCTGGTCTCTTTCCAAGAGTCCAAGAGCTGATAACGCTGAGACTGCAGATTTATATCGATGGCTGGCTTACATTGTTCTGGCCTACAACTAAGTAAAATAGTTAATCAATGAATCACTCTTCAGAGAGCCTATTATATTTACTTTTGGTGAGACTAAATTGGTAATCAAAGCTGTCAGATGAAAATCTAGTTGATGTCACTGATAACTATCAAGCCATTGTAATTGTTAATTTAATTAGCAAGTTAATACAGCTTTGGGCAACTTTCTTGGATTGTTAAAAGTATATAAAGTAGTTATATTTATATATTTATCTATAAGGTTAAATCGCTATATAAGTACCTAATATATATAATTTTTATATAGATATAGAATAATTTATTGTTCAAATGGATATTCCAACTAATGTACTCAGCATAAAGACAGAATATTTTCTAAACTGCCTAATGAGTTTCGACTATTCCATTCCCATCTGCCAAGATGTATTTCTTGATAGGTAACTATTAGTGTGCCCAATTTCGGTTCCTATCTTCTGAGCCTGCGCTTCGGCGTTTTCGGGTTTACCCCGGATGACGGCTTTGTAAAGTACTAATTGTAGGGTATTTATAATTCAATATGAATTATGTTTAAAAATAGCAGAGAGCCGTGGGCGACGAGTGGCGCAAGAGGCGACCTTGAAAGTGTCCACAAATGAAATAGAAAGCAATCGATGTGAAGGGGTTAATTTTGGGGCTAAATTAACGTGGCCTTTTGGTTAATCGTGCCCATTAATCAGTGCAAACTGTAATATGTTAGCTCTGAATCATCCGAAATAGTAACTCATTCAGAAACCCACCATAATTCAAAGGGGCTTCAAGAGCTGTGATAGTGCGTAAGTCTCTATTTGTTTGTTGCTTTCTCCTGACCGCGTTTCAATTTTCCCGCTGGCTGCTATTGTTATTGTTTGTCGCTTTTCCCTTCTGTGTGGTGTGTTTTTTGTAGAGACATAACGTAAAAGGACATTTTGTGGCTATAAAAATGCTTTGCCACGCACGCGATGAAGTGAAAAGAGCAGCGACAGGTGCAAGAGAAATTATATCCCTTCCACCCCAAACTACACACAATATATACATTTTTTTTCTATATATGTACACTCGGATATGGATTTGTATATATGGCCCAAAGTTATTCGGTACAAGTGCAAGGACGCACTTTGGAATTATCGATGTAGTGCCCCATTTAAGTTCAGACTGGGATTTTCTGCTACTCACATTTGGCTTAAAGGACCTCTCCTTTCGCGGCTGATGGCTTAATCCTCGCGGGCCTTGGCTTCTATATGGCATACACACACACACACTACACTCGCCTTTGTTTTGCACTTATCTCTGTTAAGTGGTATTTTTAGGGCATCAAAGGATCAGTGCATAATTGAAAAGTACCATTGATTAGAAATGCTGCCTGTTTTGGGCTAACATCTCGAGTCCATCTTTAATCAACTAATGCAGGCGGCAGCGGTGGAGTCAACAAATAATACTAATAACAAACTAAATTAGTGGATTTCAAGAACACATGCCACGGGGCTGGCTAGTTAGCTGGGAATGGATATGGGGATGGTTACGGTTATGGGAATCGAATTGGGAATGAGTTCCACATTCGATATGTAATAAATGACGCCCTATTAATGGCTGTGTATTGGTTGGCTGGTCAGTGTGTTGGTCATTTCGGTGTGGTTATGCATACAATGGATCGAAATACGTTAAGCGTTGGCGCGCCGACTGTGATGACCTCCATGACCCATTCATGGAAAATGAAATGAGTTTTCACATCTCGCACCCAGAATCGATACTCATTAGAATGTTTAAAATTAATTACGCCACAGTGTGCACAATTATGTAATGTAGGATGTTACTTTTTAGATATATCCACGACACACTGTTTGCATCTGTTTTATTTTGTTTTCGAATATGAGTTGATTGGATTTACTTGCAAAAAATGTTTCACTCTTGGCGGTTGGCTTGTGAATTAGGCACTAGTTTAAATATCACTGCATTTCGTTACGCGCACTCCGTTTTTAAGCTCTCTTCGCGACTCGAAAAGGACGAACGCACATTGATCCTTCCGTAGCGAGCTTCAAGCCGCTACTAATGGCTTTTCCTCTGGCTTCGTATGTTTACGACACTCCGCGAAGTCCAGCGAATGGAGAGCGGCGTGCAAAAGTGTGAGTGAGAGCAGGAGAGAAAGTGAGAACGTAAGAGCAGGACGAGTAATGCGGTGAGTACACTCGGAGAAATGTCGGCAGACATTTGCCATCGATATTACATTTGATAGATGTGATGTAAAAAATGTATATTCTCTATTAGGGGAAATTAGTAAGGAATAATTTAAGAAACCTCAAAAACAATAATGTAAAATATATTATAAATAATATATATATTTTCGTTACCTGATTTTCAGTATTCATAAGTTATTAATTTGTTAATGATTGAGTAGTACTTGAGTTATACCTAGACATGTACACCATTTTTTCGAGTGTCTTAGAGCGCGAGAGATACTTGAAACGCGACTCGTGGCTCAGTCACATCTTCGGGCCGCAATTGTAAAGGTAACACCAACTGGTAACAGCTTACTGGTATCTTTATTTCGACCCGCTGGCAGAGCAACAATTTTCCGCCCTTCAACTGTCGCGGTCTAACTATGCACTATTAGAGGGCTCATAAAGTTCTCGCAGCAAAAAACCCACACACTACTCCGAAGATAGCGAAATGGAACAGCGAAAATAAATTATAGAAAATTACTCTTAAGCACTTAGCCAAGTTTTTACTACAAAATGATTTCCTCCCAGGAAAGCGGGCAACACAATTTTATATAAGCCGCAATAAATCCCTGCCCTGAAAGTGAGGAGGCATCCAATTTGGGTCAAGTGGCCGCATTGGAATTGAACCCTCTACGTAATTCGGACAACACTTGTTTGCTCTCCATCCCTCTCGGATTTCCTTTTGGCCAGGACAGGTGGGAATACAAAGGACTCGTCGGAAATGCTTAACCACAAAATGAAAACACTAACCAAATACTAAAAAGAAAAAAAAGAGCGGGAGCGTATACAAAATATGGGGCTGGTATTAACCCACACCCACTAGAAGCCAATCCTACCGACAGGATAATGCTGCTGGTCAGCAAAAGTCGAGTGGGTGTATGAGTGTGACTTCCTGCGTTATATATAGCACAATTTTAAGAGATTATATGAGATTACCAATGGTTTCGTCACGCTCTTGTTATTCTAAGTTGTTGTATCGCAGTTAAATATAGAATTGGGAAATATGCATTTCCACAAAGTTGTCTTTATTGAAATAAAGTCTGAATGGTATGATATCAGCTATTAAATCTAAACAATAATAAATATAAATATAGTTAAACTTTGGTCTCAAAACAGCAATTAGGCGGGATTTATATGCCATTCTGTAGACGTTATGCCCTCTTTATTGACTCCCATTTAACATCTGCCTTACTTACGTTTCGTAAATATATTTAAATGTGAGATGACGTCATATGACTTAAAGCACTGCAATTATAAATCATTTTATCATATTTATGTATATATTTTATGTATTTTCTTAATAAAATATCTTATGCCTATGAACATTGGCCAATGGTACTTTTCATATTTTTAAACATCTACAACCGTGGATCTAAATATTTAATTCTCAGATTATCTCAAAGTACCTTTTTCGGTTAATATACCAAGCTTTATCATTTAACTGCTGCTAAATTTTGTCATATTTAGTCGTAGAAAAAGCGTGAATGTCCTTCAGCGTACACAACATTTGTTTTTACGACCAGAATGGAATTTGGGCGAGTGTGGAGTGTGGAAATTGGTTGGATTTTCCCGCTCGCAGTTGGCTCGGCAAAAACTGGACTCCCTGGCGGCCAAAAGGTTTATTTTTAGATCGAAAGCAAGGTGCTTGGCTGGCCAGGACACGCGAACAGGACAAGGTAATGCCAAATTCGAGTATGGTAACATGTTGGCTATGCAAATGCAAACAATGCATTGCCCTCGAGATTCGGTGGCGACATATGCGCTCCCAGCAAATACGAAGTGGACTACAGCAGTAGTCTGCTCGTACTGCTCGTACTGCTGAATAAGGAATCCCAGGGAGCGGAGAAGGGGCACGTTTAGTCACTCGAATGGGGCGACATATGCGGCGTATAAATAAAAAATCAATCAAAAAGTCTGTAAATATGTAAAATGTCCCAGAACCCACTACCCCGTCCACCCACTCCCCCAAATTTCCCATATGCATGCCAAATGAGCTAACAGTGGAACATCACAGAAACAAAAACGGATACGGATACGTACGGAAACAGAAGTAGGAGCAGGATCAGGAGCACGAGTAGGAGCAGGAGCAGGAGTAGGAGCAGGAACAAGGACTACGACAACCAACATGTGCGGCTCATAAAAAATTCAAAATTTTAATCGAAACATAGTGCAGGCGGAGCGAAAAATAGAACGCGGCGCTATGAAGCCAAGCGATGCGTTTGAAAAGATAAGCAAAGTGCATGCGAATGCACTTACAGACTTACAGACAGGAGTAACTAATAGTGCAGAGCATTAATAAATGAATCAATGAATTTGTTCTGATGAAATGGGGATCACGGAAGGAATATATTCATACGCAACACTGGGAAAATCATTTTAGAAAATGTTAGCTAAATTAGGTGTTAGTTAAAGCATTGGCACATTTGGTTCTATGGAAACCGAACCCATTTATTTATCAGATAATTTTAAGAATATATACATATATCTAAAAAATTGCGGGTTTCCTTGCATGAGGACAATTATTCTTTATTCTTTCTTGTTCAGCTTAACATATCAGTTTAGAATATATAAGGAGCTCAGCTTACTAAAGTAGTTACTTAGTGCAACATTAATTGCAAAACCTCTTAAGTATTGGTTGCAGAACTGCCTCACTCATTTTTTTCAGTGTACCTATCTGTGTGCCCCACGTGTGCCGCGAGTCCAAGTTTGTGGGGGAGGACGTCGCTGACACAGGCCATACAAAAGCCAATTGGCTGTCAGTGGAGGACTGGTCACAGCGTGCACTTTGACCCCTTGTCCCTGCAAAGTGCAGTACCGCTGACTGCACAAATCGGAACGTGAAAAGGGTTTTCCGATGTGCCGCACACAATACAATTACACTTTATTTACAATTTCCTTCTCGGATTACTTTCTCTCCGCTTTCTTTGCACGCTTCGTCCGATTTTCTTACTTGAGTGTGTTTTGACCAAGTTAAGCAATTTGTTGACGGATTCCTTAGACGATCTAAAAATTAAACGAGATACAAAGATAACAATTGTTGGGTTCCTAAAAAACTCTACATAAATTTAAAATGTGTCCATTCTTACCTTGGGATAGTTAAACACTTTCTTTGTATATTATATTTAATAGATACTATAAATTAAATATAAAAGCTTCAGTAAACTGATTAATGTATGGCAGCAGTAATTAAAATGGACTGACTGACTGTTGACTGTTTTCCACTTGGTGACGAATCGCGTCAACTTTAAACTTACTAAAGTAAACTTTCAATGTAATTGTCTGTTTAACTTAGTGGCGAAAACTATTTTATTATGCGTAAATACTTTAATTTTGAAATATTTCTTTTTGGTGAAAAAAAAACTGTAGTTCCAAAACCTTACAGATCTTCTAGTTCAGTTTGAAAGGTTGAGAGCTCTTCGAATATATTGGGTTCCACGCTTTTGGGCGCCTTCAATTTGGCATAAGAAAGGTGCAAGAGTGACAGAGCTTTTTGAGCTGGGCTTTTGGGGCGAATTCTTATCGGCACTGCCCACTCGGCTTCATATGTGTTGATGGCTCGTTTACAGTTGCAAGATAAATTCACCATATTTCGGCGAGAGGGCGACGATAAGCTGCTAGTCGCCAAATCGTGACAAATGGCAAATTATTTGACGCTATAACATCTCTTACCGATCGCCAGGCGTTTGCAGTTGCATCGCCGCCGGAATGCGAATCAGTCGCTCCATAGCTCAGGTTACGCTTGGTTTGCGCCACATTCCCAATTAGTGTTTCGTGTGTATGTGCCTCCAACTCGCTTCACCATGAGCAGCAAGTCGTGGACGCTGCCACGCCTCTCGCAGTCCAGAGCCTCCTCCGCCCACAGACTGCTGGGATCTGTCCGCCTGACCTACGCCATATGCGCCTTCCTGTCCACTTGCCTGCACGCCGCCATGAGGAACATGCTCGGCATGATCATCCTCAAGATGGTCATGCCTCGGCCGGAGGATGCACTGCTCGCTCCAGCGGAGTTGGGTCGCCTAACGGAGGGCAATACCACCTCCATGAGCCGATGTGGATCCCCTCGGGTCATTTTCAATCCGCAGATCCAAGGGACTCAGGCAAGTAGATTTTTCATTGGAAGGGAATGCCAAATCTTGCTCAAAAATTTAAACTTTTAAATGTATTTGCTTTAGAGAGTAAAACTGAAAGCCACAATAAGCTGTACATTTTAGGTAAACAATAGTGATATATTAATAATAATGATTTATAGCTACTTTAGAGCTCAAATTACCCGGATCGGAAATTAGTAAATTAGTTAATATGTTTGCCGGAGAAAAATAAATCAAACGAACACATATTTTAACTATTCAATTATGAAGTTGATTATCCAGAGTTTGTAATTATTAAACTAAATTTATCCACTAAAACTTCGTTTGATATCAATTGAACCTATTAAATCCCCTTTTAATATTTCAGTTAAATTTCCTTCTTGCAGTCGGGCGACTTACCATGGACCCGAAACCAGGAGCTGACGTTCCCAGGTGTTTACTACTATGGCTACGTGGTTTCCATCTCGTTATCCGGCTATCTGGCAGATCGGTGCAGCAGCAAGGTGCTGTTCATCGTGTCCCTGATCTTCGAGGCGGTGGCCTACATCCTGCTTCCAGCGATGGCGCATTTTAGTTTCGAGGCCGGAGTTGTTGATCTGGTCATTTGTGGCTTGCTGGCGGTAAGGAAAAGGAATTATCAGATACTAAAATATACACGTATATAATGCCCCTTAATTTATATTTCCTACTTCCAACAGGGCTGTGGCAATCCTGCGATGTACAAGTTGTTTGTGA